GGTAAAGAGTGGAACCAGTTAAGTACAGGCTCTTCTAAAGAAGAAGGTTTCGAGTCTGGATTTGAAGGATTTTAGAGAAGGTGACTCTCTGATATCCTTGGGGAGAGAGTTCCAGAGCTTAGGGGCATAACAGGAGGCCCTGTCACCCATAGAGTGTAGACAGGCTTGGGGGACAGTTAGGAGACCAGAATTAGAAGACCGAAGATTTCGAGATGAGGATTAGGGTGATGATAGTTCAGACAGACATGGGTAATTCCTAATCCTGGCTAAATGGCTAACACTGTTCAACAACAGGGCTTATGAACACAAAATCTAATATCAAAGGCTAGTAATATACTGTATGTGGCCTCATCTGGAAGAAATACAAGATATACATCTACAATTATTGCTTTGTATGAGGTTGCAGATACTTTCTTGTAGGATTCTGTGCAACTCCTGTCATGAAGACTTGAAAGGCATGTGCCTGTTCACTGGGCTTTGAGCCCTCAATGTCACACATTATCACATTTCAACCCACAAATGTTCAATAAGGTTCAAGTCTGGAATTTATTTTAAATATATTGTAGTAATAATATTAACAACGTATTTAATGTGTATGTTTTTTCTTGGGAAGGAATTGCTTCTTGCCACATTACATCAACGTAAAGTGTGAATGCCCATATAAGTTGTCACCTGCTTACACTATTTCACTGACAGTAAAACAAATGCACACAAAGGAAGCTTTGCAGAATTAGTGATTTGTCATAACTACTTCACAGTTTTCCCACATTTGTTCCTACACATTTTAACATCTTTACTTTGCTTTTACAATGCTTGAGTGTACATTAATATGTTCTACAAGGTGCTTACCACAATTAATTAACTCTCATCATACAGCACTATCACTGTGCTTTACTGTTCTATTTTATAATAGAAACATTTTATAAAGAGGTGCACATACCATTAGGTGTTCCCTTTCCACACTGCTCCTTGGAGTAACCAAACCAGCCAACCACAATTGCATCAAACGTGAGGGTTTCACCAGCAGAATCGACAACACTACTGTTGCAGAAAAAAGCTAACAGAAGAAGACACAAAAGTGTTGCTCAGAATGTTGTTACCTCGTTTTTTAACTATACATGTTTTTATAAGAACATAAGCTACAAATAAGAGGACATCGTTTGGCTCATCTGGCTTGTTTGTTTGCTAGAAACTAATTGATCCAGGGATCTCATCCAGTCTCTTCTTGGAAGAAGCCTGCAAATTAGCATAATCGACATGCAAAAACATACTGTATTAATGCTGAGAAATAACATTTGTGCTTTACTGTTATTTCCGATTAAATCCTTTGGTGCGTCAGTGTCAGTGAGAATTCTGTGTCTTCTCTGTTAAAAGACTAAATTATTTTAGTCTATCATTACAGGAAACTCTTTCAAGTTTTTAATGGATTACATGTGGTCGCTTTTGTACTCTTTTCTGGGCAGATCCCAGAACAGCGATATCTTTTTTGTAACATGGTGAACCAGATTATACACAATATTCCAAATGAGGTCTTATTAGTACACAGTTCAAGTTTAACCTACAGTAATATCCTTGACCTTGAAATTCTACACATTCAACCTTATACAGTATCCTGACATTCTGTTTGTCTTTTTTATTCTTTCCCTACATGATTTAGAAAATGTAACAATAAACAGTCTTTTGACAAAATAAAAAATATTTCTCAAAGTAACTTCTTCAAGGTTGTTATTTTATTTTTTAAGCGGGACAGTGTTTTGAAACCGCACCCAGGCTCAAATGTAGAAATGCAATAAATGAGACAATTTTAATCCTGGACAAGGAGTATCATCATGCATGACTATATTCTTCTTATTTTCAGTTACTGAAATGCTGGGGAGCTAGAATCCTGTGTGATCTTAGATGTGGGACAGTTACTTCTCATATGAGCTGTACCTGGAGAAACGTGTTGGAATTGTCAGCAAATGTCAGCAAGTACATCTGTCAGATAGAAGAAGCTGCACAGCTTCTTGTTGTTAAAGCTGTGATACCTGACTCTTTTCAAGAAATACATGCACAAAATATTTGGATCAATTAGCTACTAACTACAAGACAAGCTGCATGAACCCCACTCTTTCACCTTTCTTCCAGATATAATTAAAAACATTGCCTGTATTTTGTTTATGAGGTTACATTTTCAACACATCAAAATTCTAACCTTTTTCGCATTTATCCCCGTACCATTCATCAGGACAAATACAGATCCCAGCTTGGTATCTTCCACTGTTCTCACACCAAGGGGGTGTTGTAGCAGGCACCGTAGCAGGAGAGGCAGTGGAAGATCTTGCAGGGGAGGTAGAGAGAGTTGAGACAGAAGTTGAGAGAGCAGGTGGTGGGGTTACAGTGGTAGTGGGAGAAGTAAGTGGAGATGCTGTAGTAGGAGATGTTACAGTGGTAGACGAGTCTACAAAGAAAAACAAACACAACGACTAATGAGAACATGAAGGACTATTTTTGGCTTTACAAGATGCATTTCTGAGACAACATTTACGTTATCTCTAATTCAGTCATAGCAAGATTTGCAAAACCATCTTTTGTGGGGTTGTAATGTCCTCTGGTTTCTCCCCAAATCAAGCTCAAATTTATAAATGGTTTAAAATGATATCTTGGAGGCAACAGAAATTGGAAGCTTTTGCAGGTCATCTACAGTAGATAAACAATATGTGTGTAGCCTGTTTAACCTTGCATGTTGTCCCGCAGCAGGACATTTATTGACAGTCTTATCATCTGCTTCTTGATAAAACTATTTATGACAACAGAAATCATTTTCAAGTACAGATCGTGAATTATAAGATAATTAAAAAAATATATATATATATTCCAGTATCAGAAAGCCACACCACTTGGTGAAGGTCACAGCAAGCTGGAATCTGTCCTAGAAGAATAGAGCACAGAATGGAACAGCACACAACACTGAAGACTGGAGTATCACGGGGACAATTCAGTCACACTGATCAGTCCTTTCAGCATTACTTGGGAACATTAGAGGAAGCCTAAGTACCCAAACACAACCCACAGGGACACAGGGAGGACATATAAACTCCACAGAGAAGGTAACTGTCACAATTATAGTCCCCCCTCCTTAAGGGTGCTCCAGCCCTTTCACGTGAGGCTTTATTCTGTGCACCTGTTTCCTATTCCCAGCCCACCTTAAAAGCCAGGCGCTGACGCTCATCTGGACTCTGCATCTGGTTTCCGCACCATGCGACCTGGAAGCGCCTGGTCCCGTTAAGGTTTTAATCTCCGTTCCCGTTCCCTGTCCACCGGTTCCGACCCAGTTCATGGTTTTAATTCCTTGTTTGGATGGATCTCCTGGCTATGGACTTACTCTTGTGTTTTTGGATACCCTCTATGGATTACTTCTGGATTGTTTGCCTCGGCCACACCTCCCCCTTGCACCAGCGCACCTTGGACACGCCCCCCCTGTCTTCAGCCCCGTATTCCTGCATGACGTTTCCCTAGTGTTCCCCCACTTCTTTGGATTGTGTCGTCCGCATAGGGTCCGGAAAGAACTGTTCGTTACAGTAACCCAATCTAAACTCAAACACAAGACCAAGAACGTAGTCCTAACTACTGTGCTACCATGGCATCCTACAGATTTATTCATGAAATGCACAATGCAGCAGTAAAAATGATACCAGAATTTGGATAAAAATAGCCTATGGATTTGTTTCATGTGTTATGATGTGTTGTTACAAGTGGAACCATGAAAGACCAGTCATTGATGAGCGATAAAACTAATTTTTACAGTTAAACCTCTAATTGCATCTAATGTTAATAATTAAATAGACGTTGCATATAGTGAGCACAAGTCTTCCAAAGTCTTTTTCTTGCAGATGCAAAGTTAAGATGTTTTTAGCTTTATGTTTGCAGACTGTAAAGCTGAAATATATTTAAATTAAAAAATTAACCACATTAATTTTGTAAAGAATGATATTATGAAGATTGCAAGAAAGTATAATGTGCTGTTGAATATATATTATAAAAACACAATTCACAATCATTTGTTTAAATTAGTCCATATAGACCTGTATATTCTTAATTTCTGTGTTTGGAATCTCCTGGTATTGATCTTATCTCAAACAAAATGATCTGTATTCCTTCAAAAAGAGCTACATACAAGCTATATTTTACTGTATGATAAAATCCATCAAATATATGCTTAACAACCGGAACCATGTTTACAGATGTAACTGAGCTCTCTTTCTGACAGTACTATAACAGTACTACGCCAGTAGTCTCCTCCACACCATCTCACACACGCCTTACCTGGCTTGAACCTTTCATAAAATTGCCAACAAAACGCCACCCAGATTGCCACAGTAATTACCCCAAAAAGTGTGCCTATCGACAGCCTTGCGTTCCTATATCCCACAGACATCGTGAACAGATCAATAAACACTTTCGTGTTCACAGGTACAGCAGTCCATTCTTTTACACATAAACAAACATAAAAAACTGGGTGGAGTCTATAGATGGCTATAGAGGTTGTTATAGTAGAAAGAGAGGGGGTAGATATAAACAAACAGAAATATTGCATAATAGATAAGCTCAATGACAGACTGTTTTGGCTGAAAATACTGGGAATTAGAACAAATAAAACGTCCCAGAGAATTGCTTAAAATAAAAAGAATGTACAGATTTAATTTTTGTTGAACCTACAAGGCCAGTAGATTCGATGATGGAAGTTTATTTTGAAAATCTTACGACATTCATCGAAGGTGTAAAACAGAAATAAGATACTGTCCTACAAAACCCTTTGGGTGCCCTTAAAGCGATCCTTAACAAAAGAATCTCGGCAGTGCTCACGTCACTGTGCTTTCCAGAAAAAATAGCCTACGCAAGTTTTAATAAAGGTGAAATGAAACAGAAATATGTTATCATGTATTACTATACTGG